GAATTTCTTCACCCAGAGGGTTGTTAATCTATGGAATTCCTTGCCCAATGAAGTAGTTGACGCTACTTCAGTAAACGCTTTTAAAAAAAAGTAGATTTTTTTTGAACAATAAAGGAATTAAGGGATACGGTGAGAACGCGGGTAAATGGATCTGAGTCCATGAAAGGATCAGCCATGATCTTATTGAATGGCGGAGCAGGCTCGAAGGGCCAGACGGCCTACTCCTGCTCCTAGTTCTTGGGTTCTTGTGTTCTTGTGCATTTACAGATCGTAATGCACTGCTACTTCTGAGTGTTAGTGGTGGAGGGACTGAGTGTTTGTGAATGTAGAGCCAATCAATCGGGCTGCTTTATCCTGGATGGTGTCAAGCTTGTGTGTTGTTGGAGCCACTCTGATCCAGGGAAGTGGAGTGAATTCCATCACACTCCTGATTTGTGCCTTGTAGATGGTGGACAGGCTTTGGGGAGTCAGGAGTTGAGTTGCTTGCTGCAGGATTCCGAGCCTCTGGCCTGCTTTTATAGTTACTATATTTATATGATAGCCCAGTCAGCTTCTAATCAATGGTAATACCCAGAATGTTGATAATGGGGATTCAGTGATGGTAACAAAATTAAATCTCAAGAGGTGATGATTAGTTTATCTCATTGTAGATGGTCAATGCCTGGTACTTGTCAGTCCACACCTAGATATTATTCGTGTCTTGCTACATTGTGGACATGGGATTGCTTCAGTATCTGAGGAGTTATGGATGGTGCTGAACATTGTGCAATCACCAGTAAATGTCCCCATTTTTGGTTTTATGATGAAGGGAAGGTAATTGATGAAGCAGTTGAAGATGGTTGGCCACAGGGCACTACCCTTAGGAACTCCTGCAGAGATGTCGTAGAACCAAAGTGATTGACCTCCAACAATGACAACGATCTGCCTTCACGACTACAGTGTGCAGTGAGTTTTCCCCTGATTTCCGTTGACTTTAGTTTTTCTAGAGCTCTTTAACACCACTCTTGGTCAAATACAGACTTGATGCTAAGAGTAGTCATTTTCACCTCCCCTCTGGAATTCAACTCTTTGGCCTATGTTTGAACCAAGGCTGTAATGAGGTCAGGAGCTGTGGCCTTGGCAGATCACAAACTTAGTGTCAGTGTGCAGCTTATAGCTGAGCATGTGCTGCTTGAGAGCACTCAAATAAAAGCAAAATACCACAAATGCTGGAAATCTGAAATAAAACAAGAAATATTTGAGAAACCCAGCAGGTCTGTCTGCATCTGTGGAGGAAGAAACAGAGATAATGTTGAATCCAGTATAAATCTTCTTCAGAACATCTTGGGAACACTGTTGATGACCCCTACCATCACTTTCTGGATGATAGAGTATTCTGATGGAACATTAATTAGCCAGGTTGGATTTGTCCTGCTTTTTGTGCAGAGGCCAATATTGTTGGGTAGATGCCAGTGTTGTAGATGAACTGGAACTGTTTGGCTAGTAGTGCAGCAAGTTCTGGAGCAAACATTTTCAGCTTAGAGGGAACATGTTTCTTAATATCACATGGAATGAACTGAATTGTTTGAAGACTGGTGTCTGTGATATTATGGATCTGCGGAGGATGCTGAAATGAATCATTCGCTTGGCATTTCTGGCTAAAAATAGTTGCAAATGATTTAGCCTCATCTTTTGCACCAGTTAGCTTGGCCCCGCTGTCATTGAGAATGGGGTATACTTATGGACATTCCTCCTCCAGAGAGTTGCTTAATTGTTCACCATCATTCTTTGAAGAGGTGACCAAACACGTGGATGAAGGTAGAGCAGTGGATGTGGTATACATGGATTTAAGTAAGGCGTTTGATAAGGTTCCCCATGGTAGGCTCATGCAGAAAGTAAGGAGGCATGGGATAGGGAGAAATGTGGCAGATTGAATTCAGAATTGGCTGACCCCTAGAAGACAACGGGTGGTAGTAGACGGAAAATATTCAACGTGCTTGGCCTGTACTGTTCTATGTTCTATGCACGATTGGATATGCAGGACTGCAGACCTATGATCTGATCCAAAGGGTATGGAATAGCTTTGCTTTGTCTATAATTTGCTGCTTATCATATTTGGCATGCAACAAAGGCATATTGTTTCACCAGGTTGGCACCTCATATTTAAGCATGCCTGGTGATACTCCTGATACGCCCATCTGCACTCTTCATTGAACCAGAGATGATTCCTTGTCTTGATTTTGTAAAGTAGGAGATTTGTTAGATCTGGAAGTTGCAGATTGTGTTGGAGTACCATTCTGCTGCTGATAATGGCCCAGAATGTTCTCTTAAAGCTGAAAGTGAAGAGGCAGGTGGATCTAACACACCTATCACTTCACCAGCAGATCACACTAAATGAATAACTCTGAAGTCTAATTACTGTTATGTATGTGAAACCATCTAATTGAACACAGTAAGATCCCACAATCAACAATGACACTAATAATGAAATAAATAATTTGTTTTAAATTGTCAGTTGAAGAGAATTCCCACATTTTCTCCAGACTGGCCATTGGACTCTCAACAAACAATGGACAGGGGTAACTTCAAAGTCTTATTGGATATAAAGCACTTGCAGCAGTCTCTCGGCGCTGACCCTCCGACAGTGCGGTGCCCCCTTGGTGCTGACTGTCTGACAGTGCGAATCTCCTCAGTCTTGACCTCCGACAGTACAGTGCTCCCTCAGTCCTGACTGTCTGACAATACTGCACTCCCTGATCACAATCCCTCCCGTACTGCAGTTTTATACCAAAACTCACCCTCTGACACATTGCACATTGGTACAATTATTTAAACACCAATGATGTAGTTTGCTTGGCAGGATCAACTGCCAGGGACCCGGGTACAATTTTAACTTCGAGCGACCGTGTGGAGTTTGCATATTCTCCCTGTGTCTGTGTGGGTTTCCTCTGGCTGTTCCAGTTTCCTCCCACAGTCCAAAGATGTGCAGCTTAGGTAGATTGGCCATATTAAATGTCGGGTGTCATGGGGACTGGGGCGGGGGTGGGTGGGGATGGTGATGGTGATGGTGATGGTGATGTGTGTGTGGAGGGGAAACCGGTCTGGGTAGGATGCTGTTCAAAATGGTCAGTGCTGACTCGATGAGCCAAATGACCTCCATTTGCAGAGTAGAGATCCTATGAACATGAAGTTATACTGATGAATAAAATTTCATCAAGAAAATAGAAAGCTGTGGGGTGACTGATAGATGTATTTAATGTCATAAAGTGACAGAGCCACACAGCATGGAAATAGACCCTTTGGTCTAACCAGGCCATACTGAACATAATCCCAAACTAAACTAGGCCTACGTGCCTGCTCCTGGCCCATATTCCTCCAAACCTTTCCTATTCATGTATTTTATAGGATAGCTATCGTAAAGATTTTTCTACCCATGGGTGAGGCTAGTACTAAAGGTCATTAATATGAGACAGTGATTAATTAATCCAATAGGGAATTCAGAAGAAATCTTATCCACTGATTTTGAAAATGTCTAATTTGTTACACAAAGTGGTTGAGGTGAATAGATATGCTACAGTCAAAGACAAGGAAGAGAGCATTAGAAGGGTATGCTGCTAGGGTGAGATGCAGAGGAATAGGAGGAAACTCACGAGCTGCATAAACACCAGCACGGGTCAGATGGGCCAAATGGCCTGCTTCTGTAGAGTGAATCTGACATAATTCCACCATTGCTGGCTCTTTCCGCTGTGACCATTGGAGTAAAGGGTTTAATCTACAAGTGTATTATGTCACCTCCCACGAGATCAGGGAGTTGCACTGACCCCCTTTCTGTGGGTGGTAAGTTTTGAAAATCCACAGCCCAAACCAGCCCTGGGAATGTACAGTGTTGTTTAAGAACTGACCGAGGGGTAAGTTGCGTGGGCAGACATCAGGTGTGTAGGAAGGTCCATCAGGGTGCTCCAGCAGACGATACCAGAAACCAAAGTGTGTACCCCCTGCAGCAACGTTGTGTCTGATTATATTCGAGGGATTGGTCACCCAGAATGCTGCAGGAGTAAGGTCATCATTGAGTAGGCTGGTACTTTGCTGCACCATGACTGCCAGGTTATACTGCAGCACATTGAGGATGGCATTGAACAAGGCAATGAAAAATGCTCCTCCCATGATGTTGTAGGCCACATTGCCCTCCACCAGGAGGTGGTGTGTACCATGGATAGTCACAGCCCTGTTAAAGGTCTGGTGTATTGCACAGCCTCTCACATACGACTCATATCTCAGGTCTCCCATAAGGTGCCAGTGGATTGGGTAGCGACCCAAACGGAAGGCTTGTCCTGCATAATATATCTAGGAAAACGAGAGAGCAGCTGCATTAGAAAGAAACAAAGGAAACATTTGCATTTTTCTTGTAACTTTGGATGATTGAGAGGTTGTGAATGGCAACTATTAAAATGAAAGCTCTGTATTCTTTACAAACAGTAACTTGTTTATACAGGGATAACAAGGTGTAGAGCTGGATGAACACAGCATCAGAGGAGCAGGAAAGCTGACATTTCGGGTAGAGACATGGTAAATTCACAGTTTGTGTCATGCAGTGGGTATCATCCCTGCCTTTGGGTTAGAAACTCCAGGTTCAAACTCTACTCCAAGACTTGATGGCCAGAGAAATTCATAACATGGTCAAAACGTTTGAGTATTAACTTGGAGTTATATCATAGAGTCATATAGCACAGAAACAGGCCCTTCTGTCCAACTCGTCCACAACGATCTGGCATCCCAATCTGACGCAGTCCCATTTGCCAGCATTTGGCCCATATCTGTCTAAACCCTTCCTATTCAAATACCCATCTAGGTGCCTTTCAAATGTAATTGTACCCACCTCCAGCACTCCCTCTGGGAGCTTGTTCCTTCTAGAATGGCAGGTGGTAAGAGAGATAAACTCCTGGTCGACCATGCTAGATGTGAAGAGGCACCACTCAAGCTGTTGCCTTTGCTTCAGTCTATTCCAGAAAAAAGTGAGGCTGGAATTTGAGGAGTGGCAATCAAGTGGGTGTAGATTGCCAGTCTGACCCTTCCTTTTTGTGAAAGGGGAGAGTTTTCCATTTCTGACAGGAGTTTCTGATCAGGGATTCTTCAGAATTGTGGAGCTGTACTTCCATTCTGTAGTACTAGCGGCTGTTGAGGGGGTTTGGTGGGTGGTGGGGGGGGGGGGGGGACATGTTAAACATGCCCCCGAATCACAGCAGTCAGCTGACATTTAAAAGGATCCAAAAATCACAGGCTGTCATGTTGACAGCTGCTGTCAAATACTAAGTATGTAAGGTATGTTTCAATTTAGATACCAGATGGAAAGAAGGGGCGGGGGGGGGGGGGGGTGGTGCCAGCTGGTAGAGTGGCAGGTAACTAATGTGTCAGATGGGTAGGAGTTAGGCTGCCAGGGAGTGGATCAGTAGGAACCCAGGTGGGTGGGAATTGGTTGCCAGGGGCAAGGGTACCATATAGGTAAGATATAAGGTAGTGTGTACAGTACCAGGTGTGTAGGGTACCAGTTTGCAAAGTGGCAAAGGGGCCAAGTAAATAATGGAGTATTTAGGGTAGGTCAGGGTGGGTACACAAAAAAAAAATAAAATCAGGCCCAGAGGGAGTTGGGAGAAGGTGGGTATCCATTCAAGGGATCGTTATGGACCAGACCAAACCCCCTCAAAATATATCAAAGAAATAACCTTGGTCCTAATTTTTATCTTATTTAAAGGCAAGTGTAAGGCACTGTGTTCCAAACATCATGTGATTGGTCAAACTACTACGGTTTAAGCAAAATACACTTTATTCATATACCACGGTTAAAATACAAACAAAAGAAAGAAGATTTGGCATAACTTTAACTCTATAAAATAAGAGCTTAAAACTCTATTAATAAAAGCATTATTTAACTAGTACTCATCAACTGTTCCATTATAGGAGCATCCCATAATACACACTTGGCAAAGGCAAATTCAGCAAAACAGATTTCCCTCACTTACTGTCCCTTCCAGTCCAGGAGAAAGGAACACCGACAGAATGAATCTAGTAGCAGAGAGACAGAACTCAAGCTTTTTGCAGCAACAGAGAGAGCAATATCTAACAGCTTCAATTCCAAAAATGCCAACTTCAACAACTGAAAGCAAAAACTAAAACCCTGGGTCTGTGTGAGCACATGTGGCACCAGCAGAAGCAGTAATAAGTAGGCAGAAAACTGAAAGAATGGCGATTGCTGGAAATCTGAAACAAAAACAGAAATTTCTGGAAAATCTCAGCAGGTCTAGCAGCATCTGAAGAGAGAAATCAAAGTTAACCTCACAGATCCAGTGACTAGCCACAGAAATATACAGCACTGAAACAGACACTTCAGTCCAACTCGCCCACGCTGACCAGATATCCTAAATTAATCTAGTCCCATTTGCCAGCATTTGGCCCATATCCCTCTAAACCCTTCTTATTCATATACCCATCCTGATGCCTTTTAGAGGTTGTAATTGTACCAGCCTCCACCACTTCCTCTGCTAGCTTGTTCCATACACACACTACCACACTGTGAAAAAAGGTGCCCCTTAGGTCCCTTTTATATCTTTCCCCTCTCACCCTGAATCTATGCACTCTTGTTTTACCCCACTCTGGGGAAAAGATCTTGCCTATTCACCCTATTCATGCCCCTCATGATTTTATAAACTTCTATAAGGTCACCCCTCAGCCTCCAATGCTCCAGGGAAAATAGCCCCAGCCTATTCAGCCTTCCCTATAGCTCAAACCCTCCAACCCTGGCAACATCCTTGTAAATCTTTTCTGAACCCTTTCAAGTTACACAACATCCTTCCTTTAGCAGGAAAACCAGAAATGCATACAGTATTTCAAAAGTGGCCTAACCAGTGTACTGTACAGCCGCAACATGACCTCCTATACTCAACACACTGACCAATAAAGACAAGCATACCAAACGCTGCCTTCACTATCCTGTCTACCTGCAACTCCACTTTTAAGGAACTATGAACCTGAACTCCAAGGTCTCTTTGTTCAGTAACACTCCCCAGGAACTTACCATTAAGTGTATAAGTCCTGCCCTGATTTGCCTTCCCAAAATGCAGCACCTCACATTTATCTAAATTAAACTCCATCTGCCATTCCTCGGCCCATTGGCCCATCTGATCAAGGTCCCTTCGTACTCTGATGTAACCTTCTTCGCTGTCCACTACATCGCCAATGTTGGCGTCATCTGCAAACTTACTAATCATACCTCCTATGTTCACATCCAAATCATTTATATAAATGACAAAATGCAGTGGACCCAGCACCGTTCCTTGTGGCACACCACTAGTCACAGGCCTCCAGTCTGAAAAGCAACTGTCCCCCACCACACACTGTCTTCTGTGTTTGAGCCAGTTCTGTATCCAAATGGCTAGTTCTCCCTGTATTCCATGTGATCTAACCTTGCTAACCAATCTACCATGAGGAACCTTGTCAAATGTCTTACTGAAGTCCTGACTTTGCTTCAAAACTGATGGCGAATCCACCCAGGATCACTTGTATCTCCATGATGTTCAATGTTCCTCAGATAGCTGTCCTCGCCACATCCCGAGATCACACTCAGTGCCATGCGTCACCATGTACACACTCCTGACCTCTCTCTCCATCAACACCGCCTCACACTGGCTCAGAGCTGCCCTACACCCCATTCCACTTCATTGTCCAGCTCATTCAACATTCTAACCAACATTTTCTTTTCCTTTCATGTGTTAAGGAACACAAGATGCAACAACTCAGATACCCTTGCCTCTCTGGAACATTCCTACCCTAAATCTTCCCTTTGACTCCATTCCCTCTCCCAACCCCTACCTTGTGTAGTGTATTTACTATCATGTCTGACCTTCCACTCTTGGATGCTGAACATTCTGTACACAGCAAAGGTCTCAGTTTTATCCTTCCGAGACCCCACCTCAATGAATTTTGGGTTCAACGTCATGTTGCACTCTTCTTCCATCACCTTTGCCTCTGTGTCCATTTAAATGGACAAAAGCCTTCCTCGCATCCCACAGACCCATTCACCCACCTCCAAAACTCTCCCCCCAACTAGACCCCTCCCTGGTCTTTTCCCTGCACTCAACCTGTTCTTCGAGAACTACTGAAGTGACATTAGTCGCCTCAGTTTATCTGTCCTCCTTATCCACTCCAACCTGTCTCCCTCTGAACTGACTGTACTCCATGCTCTCAGATCCAATGCTGACTTTGTAATTAAGCCTGCTGTTGTTGTCTGGCAGACTGATCTTTACACTGCAGGGGCTGAGTGCCAGCTCTCAGATACCTCCTCCAATCTCCCCTTGAGCCATGACCCCACAGTAACACATCAGGCCATGGTGTCCACAACAGTCACTAACTCATTTCATCCAGTGGCTGTCCCCACCACCACCTCAAAGGCTCAGTCTCCCAAACCCACACAGCCCGCTTTTATCTCCTTCCCAAAAATCAACAGACAGGACAGCCTGACCCACAAAACTCAGCTCTTCTTACCTCGACTCAATTCTTTCACCCCTTGTCCAATCCTTTCCTACTTACGCCCACGATTTCTCTAACGCTTCACACCAGTCTCAGAATTTCCAGTTTACAGGCTCCAGTTGCCTCCTCTTTACCATGGACATGCAATTCCTTTACACACCCACCCTGCTTTAGGATGGTCGCAGGGCTCTCCGCTTCTTCCTGGAAAACAAAGTCTGATCCGTCCCCATCAACCACCACCGTCCTCCACCTGGACGATCTCGTCCTCACTCTGAATAACTTATCTTTTAACTCCTCTCACTTCCTTCAGGTTAAGTGGGTGGCCATGGGTACCCACATGGGCTGCAGTTATCAGTGTCTCTTTGTGGGGTATGTGGAATATTCTTAGTTCTAATCCTATGCTGTTCCCCCATCCACAACTCCTTCTCCACCCCTGAGGGGGTTGAGTGTGTAAAGGGATTGCATGTCCATGGTAAAGAGGAGGCAGCTGGAGCCCACAAACTGGAAATTCTGAAGCTGATGTAACACATCAGGGGAAATCGCAGATGTAAGTGGGAAGGGACTGGACAAAAGGAGAAAAAAAAACCGAGTAGAGGTAGGAAGAGATGAGTTGTGGGACAGCACCAGGCAGAAACTATGGGTCTGCCCAGAAAGTCCTTTTAGTCAACTGTGGCAATTTATATCAATGACATCATCGGTGCTGCTTCCCTCTCTCATCCAGAATTGGAAACGTTTATCTATTTTGCTTCCAAATTCAGCCCGCTCTCACTTCCACCTGGTCCATCTCTGACTCCTCCCTTCCTCGACATCTGTTTCCATTTCTGGGAATAGGCTGTTTACCAATATCCACTGTAAACCAACCAACTCCCACACAGTTACCTTGACTATGCATCCTCACACCCTACTTCCTGTAAATACTCCATTCCATTCTCCCAGTTCCTCTGCCTCTGTTGCATCTTTTTTGAAGATGCCAACTTCGACAAGGGGGCCTCCAAAATATCCACCTTCTTCCTCAACTGAGGATTCCCCAGCTCTGTTGTCGACAGGACCCTCTGTGGGTCTGACCCATCTCCTGCAATTCCGCCCTCACCCCTTCTCTTCCCTCCCGCAACAGCGATAGGTCTCCTTTGTCTTCATCTATCATCTCACCCACATCCACATCCAGAGGAATGTTAGCCGCCATTTCTGTCACGTCCAGGGGGATGCCAGCACCAGACACATACTCCACCCCCATGTCTGCCTTCCGCAAGGAACACTCCTTCCAGGAGGTGCTGGCCCAATTCTCCTCCAATTTCAAAACGCTCCCATCGCCTCACAGCACACTCCCCTGCAAGTTGAAGGAGGTGTAACATCTGCCTGTTTACTTCCTTCCTCCTCACCATTCAAAACACCAAACATCTTCCCAGTGAAGCAGTGCTTTACCAGCACCTCATGCAATCTGGTCTACTCTATTTGCTGCTCACAATGTGTTCGCCTTTACATTGGAGAAACTGGGTGGCCACTTTGCAGAATACCTATGTTCTGTATGCAAACATGACCCTTAGCTTCCAGTTGTTTGCCACTTCAATACACCACCATGTTCTCTGGCCAGCATCTCTGCCTCAGGCTTGCTGCAGTGCTCCAATGGAGCTCAAAGCAAACTGGAAGAACAGTACCTTATTTTCTGCTTGGGAACCCTGCAGCCTTCTGGACTTAATATCGAGTTGAACAGTTGTAAGGTGTGGGCACCTTTCCCCATGCTTGCCCCCATTCCCACAAACCAGGCTTTGACATCACATTGGCTGCCACCACACACACTACCCATTGTCAGCCAATAATAATCCCCATAAATAACTATTCATTCCTCCAGATTGACTTTAACTGCTCCTTTGTCTGTCCAACTGGTTCTCTCTCTCTTTCAGCTCTATCTCCACTTATCTTTTACTCTCTCCCCTCTTCCCATCCCATCTTCTGTATGAAAACCATCCTTTTCTGAGCTACCATCAGTTTGAAGAAGGGGCAGGGTCACTGGACCCGAAACGTTAACTGATTTCTCTCCACAGATGTTGCCAGACTTACGGAGCTTTTCCAGTAACTTCTGTTTCTGTTTCAGTGGTAAGGCTTCACTAAAGTCTTGTTAAAGCGATTTTAAATTTATGACTGAGTTTTGTTCTTGGCAGTGACGTTGACAAGAAACACAACTAAGGTAATTGGAGATATTTGGGACTGTGTCGTTATATTTCCTGGAGCTGATATGTTTACTATTTGAAGACTGGGTCCATATAATTGAACACAGGATGCCAGGTCTGTCAGTATGAAATGGAATGTGTGTCTGGAGGAGGTTGAAGCCTAGATTTACAGCTGTGCTTGTTCCTTGATGAGGCTTTGATGATGCAGAAAGCTCAGTAATGGGCCTCATTGCTAGTTCTTTGGTGAGTGAGACTTTCAAGATGTTGCCTGATAGAACAGTAAAGGCACATTATGAATGTGGAGTGTAAGGTTTTTGAAGGACTATAATGAGGCGATGCCAAAAGCCACATTCCAAAGACAGCTTTCTGTCAGTTGAGGCAGGAGTTTTGAAACATAACAGGCAACTTGATAGAAACTGGCAATATTCTGTTGGACCTTGATAAGAGTTTTGATTTGATTTGATTTATTATTGTCACATGTACCTAAGGACAGTGAAAAGTTTTGTGATGCATGCAGTATAAAGACACAAAGATCATAGGGTGATTGAACAGAGAGAGGAATACAAAGTTATGGCTGCAAAGGTGTACAAAGAGCAAGGTTAACATTAGATTTGAAATTTGAGAGGTCCACTCAGAAGTCTAATAACAGAAGTGAAGAAGCCGTTCTTGAATCTCTTGGTACATGTTTAAGCTTTTTGTATCTTCTGCCTGAAGGAAGATGTTGGATGAGATTATAACTGGGGTGGGAAGGGCCTTTGATGATGTTGGCTTCCTTTCTGAGGCAGTGAGAAGTGTAAATGGAGTGGACAGAGGTTGGTTTGTGAGATGCTCTGGGCTGTGTTCACAACTTTCTGTAGTTTCTTACGGTCCTGGGCAGAGCAGTTCCCATACCAAGTCGTGATGCATCCAGATATAGATGCACCATAGAAAGCATTCTAAAGGTTGGTGAGGGTCCTTATGGACATGCTGAATTTCCTTGATAAGAGTGGATTTGGAAAGGCTGTTTCTGTTTGTCAGAAAATATCAAATGAAGAGTCACTGCTTAAAAGCACGGTGGGGGGCCCATTCAAGGCAGAGGTAAGAAATTTTTTTCTCCCAGCAGATCCTGAGTCTTTAAAACTCTCTTCCTCAAAAAAAAAGTCATGGGAGCAGAGTCCTTGAATATTTTTATAATGAAAAGGGATTCTTAATAAAGGAGTGAGTGAAAAGCCATCGGGATAGTCAGGAATGTGGAGTAATTAGATCAGCCATAATTTTAAGAGAATGGGAAAGCAAGCTCAGCAGACAGATGGCTTGTTCCTGCTCCTAATTTATTTTTTCATATAAAATTTGTTTAAATGTTCCACATCTCTTCAGTGTATCCAATGCTATAAAAAGGAGGAGGTGTGGCTTGGCTTCCCCTGCAGGTCCTACTCTCCAAAAGGTATGCTGCACATACCAAGGCCTTCAGCATTGGAGGTTGGACCTAGAATGGTGGGAAACAGGTCTTGGGTTTAAAAAGTAGCCATCATGGTCAACCAGACTGCTCTTGGAAGAGTCAGGCTGATATTGATGCACTGAACTTACCGGATACTCAGAACTTAAGAAATTAATTCAATCAATAAGTTAGAGAAATAATGATTTGTTAAATTTTTTTCTAAAGTTTATTACCATATTTTATTAAGGGAAGGAGTGTAATCTACAAACGCTAAGCAGAAATATCACGTACATGAGTTTGATTGTTAAGGGAGGGATGTCATGAATGATAGCTGATTGTGCGCTTGAGTATCAGATACAATAATTTTAATTATGAGAAACCGGAAGAAAGAAAGAAAGAAAGAACTTTGTACTAGCTTTAGAACTAGACAGAAGAAGTCCCCATTAAAAGATTCATTAGATATTTGTTAGAAGTAAATTTCTGACTGCATGTTGTTCTCTTAGCCTGAGATGTGACAATAGTGAACAAATTTAGTTTTCAAAGTGGGATTAATAAATATCTATTATTAAATGAAACAGCCAGTAATATATTCAAACAGCTTTTTCTCTGTTTCTACACACTGCTATTTATCAAAAGAACTACTGAATTCATTCTTAATTTATTTGGTCTACATATAGAAAGCAAAATGTGTTAAGTCAAAATCCATGTCACACCTCAGCACAACCAGCTAACCTAGAAGCTTGCGAATCATGAACTGTCTCTAAGATGCACAAATACTGACAACCTGTAACTTGCATTCTCAAAGGATGAATCCACAAAGTATACATGAAATTGTTTTCCATTTAATGTACAGCACAAAGCACGTGTTGGAGTGAAAAACGTTAGCGATTTTGTCAATGTGACTAAGAAACATGCCCATTATTTACATCATAGCAGCAAGTGTTTCAAAAGATTTCAGCTGATTCTCTTTCTTCCAGATTCCCATTATTCTCCAAGATCACTTTGGTAACTCTTGCTTTGTCACCTCTGTCTGCACTGAGCTCTCTCACTCTCCCTATGCCACTTACATTTCCTGCAGCCTAAAGTCAGGTAGCTAAGCCGAGAGATTGGAGAGAAGAAGTTACCTCAACATATTCAAGTCTCCCCACTACAAGATCCTTGCTGGGCTGTGGATTGTGGAACATAATGCAGCCTCCAAACTGGTCGCTCCCGATTTCTTCATCAAAACGTCCCTGGAAACAAGTCTGTGTTGCAAATTCACCTGTAGACAAAGGAAATTGCAGCTGAAAAATTAAAAATGTGTCATTGGAAACCTGTGCACGTTTACGTGCTAATTGCAGTCAGTTTCATTTGAACACTTTTCAATTACAATTAATCCTTAGGGAAGGTAATTCTTAACAAGGCCAATATTTGTAGCCCATTCTTAATTGCCCCTGATAAAGGTGGTGGAGAGCTGCCTCAAGTGAATTGAAGGCAAGCCCACAGTGATGCTAAGGGAGGGAGTTCCAGATTTTGATCCAGCCATAGTAAAGCAAGTGGGATGTAGTTCCATGTGGCAGCAGCACATGTCAGTGCTACGAGTTGGCACAAAGTTGGTTATATGAGTCTACCCTATGCCTTCAGGGACAGCCAGCAAAGGGCCCTATCTCCAAGCTTGATAGCAGCTGTAATACTTTCAAATTAAAGCAAAATGCAGCAGATTCTGTTTTTATTTCAGATTTAAAAGTGCTGGAGAAACTCAGCAGATCTGGCAGCATCTATGGAGAGAGAAACAGGTTAATGTTTTGAGTCCAATATGACTTTTCTTCAGAACACAATGTTTTCAAAGATGCTCTTTAAAAGAGGAATGATGGGCTAACTACTGGTTTCGGAGGAACGTTGCTAAGGACCGAAGCTGGAATTGGTTTCCGTTTCCCACCAACAACTTTTCTCTCCAGAGATCAGCATTGCAAAGTTTTTAGTAAAATGTCGAATTACTACTAGCTCCAAATGGGAACAAAACCTTTTTCAGAACCGGGGCCATTGAACCCAAATGTTAATTCTTTTTCTCTTTCCACATATGTTACTTGACCTGCTGAGTTTCTCCAGCAATTTGTTTTGTTGCAGATTTACAGTATCCACAGTCCTTTGTTCTATTTTGACCATAAAGGAAGTGGCTTGTTTGTAACAGACAGCCACGAGAGGGCAGCGTGCAATAAGAAGTAACCTGAAGGTGGCCCTATAGATTCCTATCAGCCAGAAATTGATGGGCTCATGGAGTGGGGGGCATTGGGTGAAAACGATGTTGAGGGATACAGTCTCACCCCCAAGTAAGATGGAATGTGGGGAGGTAGGATGAGTAGTCAGTGGCTGTGTGCAGGATGAAAGGAGCTGACATGAGGTGGTGATACAGGACATGCAGAAGTTTCTAATAGCTGAGCCACTCCTCTTCACCACATTTGGCCTGAGACATTGTGAGTGACCCAATTCATAGTCCCTGCTGTCAATGTACATTAAAACAGCTTTACGAATTTGGATAACCAATGGCTAATGAACAGTTAGCCTTACCTGTGTCAAATCCATCAGGACATGCTTCGATTTGATCATTCCACTCGATATGATTTGAGCCTCGGATAACGATATTGCGAGTCAGTAAACCCACCTCTGCTCTGGCTTCAAACACAATGCCATCAGGCAGGGGGATTGATACCCCCAGGTGCTGATAGGTGAGTGGCTCAGTAAGGTTCAGGATCCGTCCATCATCTGAGACAGCATCTATAATCCTGTCCTCATTTTCTCTCTGGCTGTGCCTACAAAATTAAAGAAAATATTTGAAAGCAAAGCCCAAAGAGCTAAGGATGCCCAAGATCATGGACAGAATGATACACCCATATTGCAAGGGAATGGAATTAATTATATTTCCACTGTATCAATGTAGAAGATGATAATATAAAAGATGTATTGTAAGGTAGAGTTTAGGCAGATTAAATGTAGTAAAAATGTTTTCAATTACTTTGGCAACCAGAAAGACAGATTTAAGGTGACTGGAAAACAACATGGAAGTAACATGAAGCCTTTTTTTTAAAATACACAAGGTGCTAAGGCCTGAAATGTGCTACCTGAAAAACTCAACAGTAACTTCCAGAAGGTCATTGAATAAACATATTGAAAAAAACATTGTTGGGATATGGAGACAGGCAGGATCTGGTACAGGCTTAATGAGCCAGATGGTCACTGTCTAGGATTATATGACAATTTAACCTTATGTAACAAATAAACGTAATTTAACCTCATGTGACAAACTTGAATTTAACATAACTCAGGAACAGAAACAGCTGTGTTGTCAGGTTATGTTGAAAGTCTGCAAAATTTCATTTCTATATCACTTTTCACAAAACTCCAGGTCATCCAGGAACTAAATATACCAGGCTACAATGTTTACAGGACTAATAGGAAAAATGGCAGAGGGGTGGAGTAGCCTTTTGACTGGAAACAAAATTGCTTCAGTGCTGAGGGAGGATATAATGAGGGGAAAGCGATCAGTGGAGACCATATGGGTGGCACTGAGGAACAGGAAAGAATCTAAAACTGTAATAGGTGTTGTGTACAGACCCTCAGGTAGTAGCTCTGAAGTGCTAGGTTGTATAAATATGGAAATTAGGCAAGTGGGTAGCAAAGACAGTGTGGCATTGATGGGGGAATTTTAACTTTGAGATTGGGAAAGGCAGACAAGCACCAGTCAGAAAGATAGTGAATTTCTGGAGTGTGTCCAGGACACTTTTCTACAGGAATATATCCTGAATGTAACACAGGTCAAGTGATATTGGATTTAGTAGTGAGTGATGAGCCAGATTTAATTAATAACTTAATTATGCATGAACGTTTATCAAATAATGATCACAGCACAATCAACTCCAATGCAGTATTTGACAGCAAAAAGCATTAATAAGCTTCTACAGTTTTAAGTGAAGTCAACTCTATTAAGACAAGACAGAGGCTGTTTACAGTAAACTGGGAAAGCTACTACTGTGTAAAACAACTGAAGAACAGCAGAGGATGTTTAAAGAAACATTCAACATAATACAAATTGAGTTTATACCCATGAGAAGGAAAAGCTGCACTTGCGCAGGAAGAAAAACAGCCATGGACAACTAAAGGGATAAGAGTCAGCATAAAGCTAAAAAAGAAAGGACTTACAACAATTTTAAAAAAAAAGCACATATTCTGCAGAATGTTAAAGATATAAAGACCAGCAAAGGGCCACAAAAGCAGTTTATAAGAGCTACAAAAAAGGGATTACGAAAGGAAATTTGCCAGGGACATCAAAATCAATATGAAGAAATTTTCTAGTTATATCCAGGGAAAGCCAATGGTTTGGAGCAATGTCAGCCCACTAAAGACTGGAAGGGAGGATATTGTCAATGACTATGGGTTAATGGCAGAGATGTTGGAGGATAGACTTGCTGAAACTCCGGAGGAATGTAATAGCCAATCAGGGAGAGGGACTGAATAAAATTAACACAAGTAAAACATTGGTAATAAGGAAATGAACAGAATTAAAGTGACAAATCTCCAGGACCTGATGGTTTCCATATATGGATATTAAAAGATGTAAGGGAGCAAATTGTAGCCATCTGAACTATAATCTTTAGAGTGTCCTAGATACAGGAGTCATCCCTCTTATTTACAAAGTTGTATATCTCTCTGCTTTTTAAGGACAGTGAAAGAGGAAAGCCAGGGAATTAAAGACCAGTTAGCTTAACGTCTGTGGTGGGGAAATTGTTGGAGTCTATAATCAAAGATCGGTAACCAAACACTGGAAACTTTTCACTTAAACCAGGGAGATTCAGAAAGGATTCATGTAGGCAGGTCATGCCTGACAAACCTCATTAAAATTATTTTTTGAAGAAATAAACGAAGATAGTGGAGAGGGGAATGACTGTGGATGTTGCATACCTGGAATTCCAGAGGCATTTGATAAAGCCCTATGCAGGAAACTGTTAACTTATGGAGACTCCCATGGAACGGACAGCAAATTACTGACATTGTTGGGAAATTGATTGAGTGGCAGGTGGCAGAAAGTAGGGATAATGGGGAGGTACTCATATTGGCAGATGTGACCAGTGGTGTTCCACAAGGATGTGTGTGTTAGGGCCTCAATTATTCACATTATTTATTAACAACTTGGATAATGGAATAGAAAGTGATATATCCAAATTCTCTGATGACACAAAATTGGGTTGCATTGTAGGCAGTGTAGATGATAGCATTAAATTAAAAGGGATGGGTGAATAAGTGAATGGGCAAAATTGAGAGTTTAATGTAAGCTAGTGTGAGGTTACCCATTTTGGACTGAAAAAGGATAGATTAGGATACTTTCCAGATGGTATGAAGTAAATACAGTGTGTGCCCAAACAGATGGGGTTCCAGGTGCATAAACCTTTAAAAAGGTCACAGACAGGTGCAGAAAACTACTGGCCTTTATATCTAGAGGACTGGAGTACAAGGAAACAAGGTTACGCTCCAGTTATATAAAACTCTGGTTGACCCCATTTTGAGTACTTTGAGCAGATCTGGGTACCATACCTTAGGAAGAATATATTGGCCTCAGAGGGAGTGCAACATAGGTTTACAAGGATGATACCTGGACTTCAGAGGTTAAGCTATGGGGAGAGATTATTTAAATTAGATCTGTTTCCTCTAGAATTTAGAAGATTAAAAACTGATCTGATCAATGCTCAAGATATTAACAGAGAGAAAAATAAACAGGATAGATAAAGACAAGCTATTTGCATGGGTTGGGGGTTCTGGAAATACAGGCATTAGTCTGAGAATTAGGGCCAGACCTTTCAGGAGAGATGTGAGGAACCACTTCTACACACAAAAGGGTAGTAAGATTTGGAACTCTTCCACAAAACGACAGTATATGCTGGATCCATTGGTAATTTTAAATCTGAGAAAGATCATTTTTGTTAAACAAATGTATTGTGGGATTTGGGCCAAAGGCAGCTATATGGAATTAGACCATTGATCACTCAAGACCTCAAATGGCAGAACAGGCTCAAGGAGCTGAATGGCCTACTCCTGTTCCAATGTTCCTACCCTAAAATGCTTTTCAATGAAGTATCTTTGAAATGTTCTCACTGTTGCACTGTAGGAAGCACAGCAGCCAATTCAGGGTCAGAAAGCTCGCACAAATGTCAATGAAATAAAATAATTCCATTTGACTTCTCAATTACTTGTTGCACTTGTCCAGCAAGTTCTTCTGTATTTTTTTATTTCAGATTTCCAGCACCCACAGTTCTTTGTTTTATTTCGTTTTACCACACTGATACTATCTTTTATTTACATAGCTCCACCACCTCTGTTTTCTTTTTGCCAGTTCTTCCAAAATGTCAAATAAACATGAATATGGGTTTATGGTTTTAGTCACCGTGCAATCCCATCTCTGTGATCGCTGCAAAGTCATATTCATTTACTTCTACTTATGCTGTCAATAAATCTATTGTGAACCAACTCCCTCCCCCACCCCCATAACTGACCATGCTGTGTTTACATTATACTGCTTCATAAAGGGTAACCTCCCTCCATTTCATGTCTTTGATGTGACTATCCTGATTTTATTTTACCTCTTGTTTATTATCTTCGAAGTGGCACTGACAGTATAGAACTTGTGTGCTAATGCTTTACTGTACCACCCATGTATTTTCAAATTAATAAAAAAGTTAAACTAGTTGGTATAAAACTAAAACTAGCTTGAAATCCTATGTTAGTCAATCAGCACATCCACATCAAAGACTGATTATCTAATGAGCCTTCATTTGTACTGAGACAGGGAGCTGCTTAGTAAGTTGTATATCCTATTGGCACGTAAGTAATTGGCTGTGGTAGACAAACACGATGCTTAATAAGCATCACATCTGAAGTTACACACCGTAAGTGGAGATAAGCAACACAGCTCTTAAAGAGTCTTTTGTCTGAATAAAAATCTTGGTGTTGATGAGGGCAGAGGATGAGCAAACTGATCAAAGCACCATGGTACAGAGTGTCATTCAAGTGAGAAGAGAAAAGAGAAATATGATAGTATTAGGAGATAGCACAGTTAGGGGAATCAATACTGTTCTCTGCAGCAAAGATAGACTTCCAAAGGCTGCGTGGACTACCTGCTGCTGAAGTTCAGGACATCTCTTTGGGCTAGCCAGCAACTTGGGATTGGGTGGGCAGGGTAAGAATCCAGTTTTCATGGTCCAGGTAGGAACCAACAACATAGGTAGCACTGGGGAAGAGGTAATGCTGAGGGATTATGAACAGTTTGAGCTAAATTAGAAAGCCAAACCACAAAGGTAATTATCCCCAGATTCCTACTTGAGCTACATGCAAATTGACTGAATGTAAATAAGATGACAGAGGGAAATGTGTGGCTCAAAGACTGATGTGGGAAAAATGGGCTCTGATACATGGGGCACTGACACCAACAATGGGGGCAGGGAGAACTGTTCAACTTGATTAGGCTGCATTTGTGCCAGGCTGGGATTAGTGCCATGGTAAATTGTGTAACTAGGGTTATAGATAGGGTTTTAAGCTAATTAATGGGATGGGGATGGGGATGGGGATGGGGATGGAGTTTGTTCACAATAGATTTATTGACAGCATAAGTAGAAGTAAATGAATATGACTTTGTAGTGATTTCAGAGATGGGATTGCACGGTGACTAAAACCATAAACCCATATTCATGTTTATTCGACATTTTGGAAGAACTGGCAAAAAGAAAACAGAGGTGGTGGAGCTTTGTAAATAAAAGATAGTATCAGTGTGGTAAAACAAAATAAAACAAAGAACTGTGGGTGCTGGAAATCCGAAATAAAAAATACAGAACTTGCTGGACAGGTGCAACAAGTAATTGGGAAGTCAAATGGAATTTTAGCTTTTTGAAAAAGGGGGTCAGGGAAGTCTTGTTACATCTGTACAGGGTGTTGGTGAAGCTACACCTTGGCAATGGAGGCAGTTCAAAAGAGATTCACTCAGCTGATGCCTGGGATGAACAACAGTTAAAAGAATGAGGGTGATAGAACATAGAACATAGAACATAGAACATTACAGCGCAGTACAGGCCCTTTGGCCCTCGATGTTGCGCCGACCTGTGAAACCAATCTGAAGCCCATCT